ACAAGCAGTTCACATTTATTACGAATGGGTTGGAAAACATTTGAGCCCCGAGTCTGGTCTAAACATTACATGAATGAGTGATAATACAATACTAACTAGCTTTTAAAAAGATTTCCAAACGCTTTGTTGTTTATGCCACAGCATTTACAGCAGAATATTCGGATTTTTATTCAAGACATTTTTCAAGGGAAACTGATTATCAAGTCATTATCCAACAAAGTATGACATAAGTTGGGGAACCTCAGAAAACCTGAGAGCACTGAACAGCTTCTTCTTGGTATGGAACTCCCCATCTGATAAAGGGCAGCAATTCAGGATCAGTGAAATCCTCCAAAATCTTGAGCCTGTAATACTGTCAAATGCTCATTAATGGTTTGCTTCGAGATGAGGTTTCTCGAAGCTCCATTGAGAACTTGTGGCTAGTAGGTCAAACTAACCTGGACATGACAACAGGTACTCAAGGATGGGATTGGATGATGACCGTACTATATCAAGAGCTGACGGAAGTAGGATAATGTTGACCTTTAGACTCTAATCCAGTGACCCAAATGTAATGCAATAGCCACGCAAACTGAAAGTCCTAAGTCCGTTCCCTAACAGAGTCATAGGTACCCAATACTGAGAGGTTCAATAAGAAGACGAAACGGCTGTCTGGTTCCTTCAAGGGTCAGTGGTTCTCCAGTTGTGATGAATACCAACTTGAAACCAACTAATGAATTACCACATATCTTCAAATTGTTATAACCGAACATTCTGCTGAAAATATACTCAACGAAACAGTCACAAAAACTTTTTTGAAATTTCCTGGCGATATTTCAGACATCAAAGCAAGGAAGTCTGTTAAGCTCAAGTGCGTTCATTAGGTATCGAGTGTTTCCAGTTTATTACTGTTATATTATCTATCCCGTGCGTCCCTAGTGGAACATACGATATCAGTAGCACATCTTCATTTAACTCTCTTCGCTGCAGTCCTCCTAACATGGCTCCACGACAGCCCACAAACTCTCACTTCCTCCTCACACAGTCTCCTCCACGTAGCCATCCCATCGGAAGCCCAACTCATCGGCTCCCCTTTGCATTCAACTCGAGGGCCTACCCTGGCACGTGATGTTCCCAGTAGGTCTTCTCAGTGTATGCCCAATCCATCTCCACTTTCTTCTGCACATTTGTTGAGAGATGGGTTCCCGGTTGGTTCATCACCAGCCACAGTTCCTTGCTGCTGATTCCTATCATTCTAACCATCCGATCTCCAGTGTCAGTATTGAGTGAGTGTAGACGGCAGCCATACATGTATGTCTGCAGTTGTCTGTTGGAAATTCTCTTCCTAACTCGCCTCCAAGTCTCTCAACCATCATATGGTAGCACTAACTTGACTGATGTTAGTGTTGAAAATCCGGATGGTGTTCACACTTTATGCTGAGTGCGACACAGTGAAGCAGATCTCCACACTAACTTCTTCATATTAATCAAGGCAGGCCTGTCTTGCTGTCTCGCCGATACTGGCTTTGACATCCCCATCTTTACTGTCTGAAGTTAAAACAATGCTGCCTTATCTAGGTAGGTGAAAGAGGCTTCTTCCTTTAGGTTTCTTCCGTTCATGGTGATTGATACTTGTTGTTGATGTTGTTGTTGGTTCGGTATCTCCATCACATCTGTCTTCTCTACGTTCACCTGAAGGAAGTCCCGTCTTCGATGCCTCACCTTACCTCTTCTATCAACTTGTTGGTTTTCGCCCATAGATCTTCCACTTTGTGCAGCAAGACATTGAGCATAAGTCATCATCGACGGCGAAATCCAAATCTTCCAGGCTCTTTTCACTGGTGCAGTCAGTGTATGTTCATCTTCTCGTTCCTCACAGTTGTTTGCTGCATGATTCAGTTCTGTCCAGTCGGCCACAATTAGGGAGATCATCGGTGATAATAGGTGACAACCTTGTCTTACTCCTCTCTCCACTTCAAACGCGTCATTCAGCTTTCCACATCGAATTAGTCGGCATGTGGCGTCGTCATATAGTTGTTGAATGAGGTCGCTATCCGTTTGAGGCACTGAGACCGTAGTTTTGAAGCAGCTGCATGCCAAATTACTTCTTGGTTGACGCTGTCGAAGGTCTTTGCAAAATCGAAGAAGTTGAGGTAGAGTTGAGTTGACTGCCATTCTGTGCTCTGTTACAGGATGATGACGATGGTGTTGCGTAGCGCAGCGTTGCAATTTGATCCGCACTTGATTTGTTCTTCCTGAAGCCAGTGAGCCTGTTCTAGTGTTAATTTTGAATTCAGAGCATTATTCAAACTCTCCAGGATGATGCAGCCTAATACTTTGCCTGCTACGGATGAAGAGAGACAGCAAAATGATTCCTCACCAGTCCTTGCAAAGACTTATATCTTCCCTCTTTGGAAGCTTGACAAGGTAGCTGTTATCCCAATCAATCTGCAGTCACCTCTCCTGCCTTCCCTCCTTCCTTGCAAACCTTCTGCAGTAGTGGTGTGAGCATGTCCCCTGTTGTCTTTGCATCTGTTTTCAGTTCTTTTGGAAGAATTCTGCATGGTTCTGCTGGTTTCTCGGATTTCAGCTACTTTATGGTGTTCAGGACTTCACTTCGGCTTTGATCGAAAGTTTTGTGTTCACTGGTAATTGTGTGGTAGCTAGTGGTATTTCTGGACTAGTTGTAGGTGGTGGTGGTCGACTCAGGAGTTTTTTGAAGTGGTTAGCCCATCGTTTCCTTAGTTTCTTCTCCTTGCTAACTAGGTTTCTCTTACTACCTCTCATTGGTTCTATCTGTATTGATCTCTCCCCAGATAGTAACCTGGTTATTTGATGTAATTCTCTCTCTCCTAACAGCAGCCTGTTCTACTTCACTTGCCAGTGTGTCGTAGAAGTGTCTTCTATCTTTCTGTGCACTCTTCACTTCTTTGTCCAGTGTAGTTTTTTTTACGTGGTGTTCAGCTCCTCTTTTCGTTGTTCATTTCTGCACTGCACTGGTTCATCTGCTTCACCATCTTCCTCTCCTTCCTCTTTCAGCTTCGCATGTGTCCGTCGAGATCCATTGCCTGTCGTGTCTTGTCTTGTCTTCTTTCTTCTTCCTTCCTAATCCGGTTATGCAGATTTCTCTCCACATCTCTTTCAAAGAGTTCCAGTGTTCTTCTATACAAGCATCCCCGGGAATGTTGCCTAATGTCTCTTATTTTGTTCTGATGACTGGCTGACTTGAAGATAACATTTGTAGTTTCGTCCTTCAGTCCACTATCTGTTTTGGGTGTTGATATCGAACTGTGGCCTATCACCAACTTCTGTAGAGGATTTCAACTTGATTTTGAAGTTAGGTTGTTTGCACGAGATGGTGAATGATCTAAAAATACATCCGCTCCTCTTCTTCATCTTGTGTCCAGTAGACTGCCTCTCCATCTCCACTTTCGTCACATTGAGATGAATTCGATCTGATGTTTAGTGTGTCCTGGTGTCTGGTGAAATCAAATCCATGTCGCTCGCTTTATGAATATCCTTGTGTTTGTACACACTGCCTCCAGTCACTGAATCGCTGAATGCTCAGAGATCTGCAAACAGTTCTTCATTCTCATTCATCATTTCACCGAGTGCTTCTCGACCCATGGTTGCTTCTCTTCCTATATTATCTTCTCCTAATTTGGCACTCATATCACCCCACCCATCAGGATGAAATTTGATGTCACCGTCGCCAACTGGGGTAGTGTTTTGTCCAGTACTGATTGCGGTTGTCTGTAGAATTCCCTCTCCTTCTCTTGACCTGCATTTTTTGTAGGTGCATAGCGTAGCACTGAATGATTGTGAATTTCCTTTCTTCTCATTTCAATCTTGTTGTCATGACACTGTTGCTGGAGGAGATTGGTTCTCACTGCATAAGAGCCTTGGATGCGGCTGGAAATATCATGATAGCCACACGAAAACTCAGTGTGCTGTGCTGGTGGTTGTCGTTTGGGTGACACTATCAGAGTTGATGACTGACTCTCCGTTCGTCAGTTTGGAAAGTCCGCTTCTATTCCATCTGCGGACTTTTCACAGATTGCTAGCCTTGCACTTCTATGCTATATTTTCTCATCTCTTTCGGAATCTGGGCAGTCTTGCTAGGTTGATACTTAGTGTGGACATTGCATGTACGTATGCTTGCTTTTGTTTTCGTCGAGAGAATATGAGACATTTGCGAGTTGGCTTCCGAAGGCTTTCACCAACCGGAGTCATTTCGTCTCTCCGACTCCAGCGAGGAATAAGTTTGTTTTTATTTTTTATATTTTCTTTGTGCTTTGGAGTTTGTTCAGTGATTGTACTGGTTTTACGAGGCGGGGTTGCTAGCCCTATGCCCTATGAGGGCGAGATGAAAATCTGGACCGCGGCCGGATTTTCACCTTCAATCATCATCCAGCAGAAATAGAGAATAACAAATGTGAAGTGTTACGTCACGGTTAAAAGTGACTACAGGTTGTGGTAAGAATAAAGAAGGGCGTAAAACTAATGATATAAGAAACTGAATATTCATCAAAGTAATGACAATATAGAAGGAAGGAATGGGAGGTTAGAATGTGCAATTTGTAGTGAGAAAGTTCATAAGGAACGTATCAACCGTGTTGTGTCCCAAGGTCAACGAAGTGGATGTGAATATTTCTTTTGAGCAGATACGTTCAATTTTCTTGCGTTGATCCCTGTGGCTTCCTCTATGGATAAAATGAATTGTGTACCCTCAGGGAGATTGCAAGGGACAAGGTATATCACAGAAAATGCATAAACTACATTAATCTGATGTCCCAAATCTACTATATGTGAGAGGATTGTACTGTTGATGCTCTTTGTCCGTTATTTTCCTAACCAAGTTGGTACATGTTCACAAGCGCGCGTGGATAGAGTCCTTTGAGTACGACCTATGTAACTAGCTCCACAGGAGCAGTTGATATCATATTATTGGTATCATTTCGTATTGATATCATATTTCTTTTATTACATTGGCTTATTTTGTCCGCATTTTTGAATTGTAGATCTGGATTTCCTTGATCAAAGTGAATTGTTCAAATGCTTCAAATATTTCAAGCAACAGTCATCATCAACAAAAACAGTATCAGAAAAATCTACTGCTTTTGGTACGATGTAAAAATGGACAAAACATTAGGCACCTCTCCCTCTATTGCTACACTTCTTATCATCCAGATAAACTAAATTTATCATATGTCAGTCAATGCATCAATTTTTATCTATCAATAAAATCGAAAAGAAATTCACTTCAGTCATCTGATGATGTATATACTTCTCAATTTCTGAAGTGTAAGATATCTCTAATACAAAGTGAAGTAGAAAAGAGATCTGAACTACAGGTATTACCTATGCGAACGGAATGTGCATTTTCACTTTGTTCGTTATATACTCAACTGCTCAAGGAGCGTAAACAAATGAGTGAGTCATTTGAACCTTAAATACGTATTTATAAACAAATATTCCCTTGCATACACATATATGAAATAAATTCCAACCATTTCCGGTGAAAATTATTTACAATAAGAGTAGTGTATTTCGTAGACTATCTGAGTTGTGCGAATAATGAGCAGTTTTCTTTATGCTGTCTGTTCATGTCCATATTTCTATGTGTATTACTGTATACCTCAACTTGAATGAAATTAGTTGTTGAGTTAGGATGTCTTGTAAAATGTTAAGCACATTTCAATGGTTTTGGTTGTAATCATATTACATTCAAGGAATATGTGTGTTCCAACTTTCAACTTTGTTTGACGGTTGAAAAACTTGTCGTAACCCTCAGCAAATTCCTGTTTGTTCCATTGCACTGTGGTATCTGAAACAATGCAAATTGCACTGAATGGAAAAATATGGGTCCTTGGATTCCAATCCAGTGGCTCAATAGTCATTTACTGGTCGTTACTGGCCACAGAACCTAAAATTCTTGAATTCGATCCCTGCCAGTGTCATAAGTACGCACTGCTGACAAGTCCAATATTAAGACGAAACAGCTGTTCGGTATTTCCTGTGCTTCCAACGGTTCTCCAACTGGCATCAGTCCCTGATTATTACTACTCCTGAAATCAAGAAAATGAATCTGCATTGGCAAATAGACTGAATTACAATGAGTGTTTCTGTGGACATAGTTGGTGTTACTTATGAATTTCATAAGATTCAACTTCTCCATTTTGTGATCATTTAGAAAATGTTTCAGTATTTTATATATTCCAGTGTAGATTTTACAGTATTTTTATCGTTTTCATTTGTTTTATAACATAAAGAATTTCTTTGATCCGCATTCTCGCCAGGTACATCTTTGCACAATATTTTTCTTAGACGATTTTTGATAAAATGAAGGTTTGAAGGATACTACAGAACATATTTGAATGAAAATAATGAAAATCGTAGTAATTAAATTTATTTATTTATGAATCATCTAGAGGTGGATTCTAGAATCTTAACATAGAATGCAAATTAGTTACAGTGAAAATCAGAATAGTATCTCTAAGAAAACAAAAATGTGAGCATAAAATCTGCACGACACCTGGATCAAACATTGAAAAAAGCTTAGAACATAGGCAGTTTAGTTTTGCGGCACCTAGATCAACTTTAAACTGACCATTAGTTTTCGTGAAGCGAAATCCAATTTCTTTGTTGATTATATGTATTGAAGGCTCTTTAAAGGACATCTTAGGTCCCGTATGAGATGTCCTTCTAAGCCAATATTATTTTCTTTGCTGTAAAATAACATTTTATATAAAATGCGCAGATATTTTTTGTGAGAAGTATTCTTAAGACGCTGATATTATTTTCTGTAGAACATCATTATTTACTTGCTCATACAATGAACTAGTCAATATCTACATAAATATAAACACAGCGGTCCATGATTTAGCGATATATAAATTCGGCACACATTCCACTCAAAATACAGAACTGACTCAGATATGTGGATATTTTTTAACTTCTATCATTCATGCATTAAGTGTTTCGAATGAAAAATATTTGCATTTCCTTTAGTAGTACTGATATGCTTTTAACGGCAGCCTAATTTATTCAGTTGGCAAAATACTGTTATTCTATTTAATTAGTAGCTTTTAATCGGACATAATAATTCAGTTTCGACATATTTTAAAAGGTCTAAATATGTACTCATTTTTGAAAATGACATTTGATTGTCACAAACATTATTTTTGCGGTTTTCGGCCAAGTATAACTTTTGTCAGTAGAAACTGTCTGTAATAATGCTAAGGGTAACCAAACCGAGACAGGGGACTGGTCTGTGAAGTCTCTAACTGTTGGTTTGTGCTGTATAGGGAGGCGTAGACTACCCTACTAGAGTCTTCAAGGTTACTAGTAGCAACCTTTGGAGAATATCGGTGATATTCTTCAAAATGAATCACACTATCTTCAATCTTTGAACATTTTTATTGAACATTATGCGTTAGTTTTCTGGCTACTACGAAAGTTTTGGTAACTTTAAAGTCATACGTCATCGATTCACATATTCTTTGAATGCTGCAGTGAAAAATGGCGAATTAGAAAGATGCACTTGTGCTTAAGGTTTCAAGTTGACCTGTATTATTTAGTCAACATATCATGTGGTAGATTACAGAGCTGATATACAGCATCCTAAATAAATCATAATAATTAAATTCATTTATTCATGAATCGCCAGAAGGTGGATTCTAGAGTCTTAGCATAGAATACAGGTAGTAACAATATGAAGATATTATTAGTTTATGAAGAAAGTGGGCTATGATGAAAACTTACCGAATTAGCTGGAGATCTGAGTACTTAACAAACAAAGGTTTTGACTCAAAATTTTGAAGACCTGCATCATCAAGATAACCTTCAATTAGGACAATAGGACTAAAATGACGAATATATGCTACCAATTCTCAACGTTTCATTGTTTCTCAGGGGAATGAAACTGTGCTGTCACAAAAATTATTATCTAATAAGTAGGATTTAACGGTCCCATTCACTCGCTTGACTCTTTCAACATGTGAGAATTTATCAATCCTCGGACTGCTCAAGTTTCTGGACGGTCAAAATGGAAAAGAGAAATTTGCCAGACAGTTTAATCTAAGAGATCAACTCACCTATTAACTCTAAAGTGAACATATTCATAATAGTGCTATGCAACAGACTTCTCTGGAACTTTTTTTAATAGCGAATACACATCCTTCATAATGCTGCATAACTTAACGTGAACAGCTTGTAAAACCCATTGCCATTTGTCTGCAGTTCTTCAAATGTCTATTCCTCTGCACAAAAACACCTAAGTCTAATGGCGTACATCTATACTGCTGTGAACGGTAACGCTTGAAGGGAAAGAAATACTTGAACATAGATATTCACTTGGATTACATGATTATGTGGAAACATACTGATTTTTGAAATCGTCAGCTTGGGTCCATTTGATCTCTGAAGCTATGAGCATAAGGATTAATGGTAAAATAGATATTTATCTGGCTTAAAATGGCATTATGAAGACGAGTCAAACATGTCAACTGCTTGTAACAGAAATTTGGAATTTTTCACTACCATAGTGCCACCTATAGTGAAAAAAAATGTGGCTGAAAAAAATCTGAATTTTAACACTCTGCGTATGCTGAAAAGTGATATTTCCTTGTTCATTTCATAACTAGCAGTGTCTTCTGACATTTTTATCAGAATATAATGACTTCCCTTCCGTACCACTCAGGATCCGTAAAATCTTGTAGATTTTTCAACATATATCATATGTGATTATGTCTGTAAACTGGCTTCCCTCATGTTAAATCCCTAATGTGAGAATAAAATATTTAGAAGTAGTATTCATCATGGACTGATATCAGTTGGGAAACCATTGAAAACCCATGAGCTGTGGGGTCAACCATTCAGAAGTGAAGTGGATGCTAACTGGAGACCTTAGGTAGTAGTCGCGCTATGTCATGAATTGACATAAGTTGGAAATTGTGAACCACTGGAAACCGACCCAGTGGCTGAGTGGTCAACGCATTCCCAGGGGAAACCTGATGGTCCTGAGTTCGATTCCTAGCTGGGTCGTGAATGAGCACTGCTGGGGAGTGCCATGCTAGGACGAAATAGCTGTCTAGTGCTCCCAGGTTTTCAATGGTTCCTTAACTGATGTCAGTCCATGGTGAATACTACTTGTAAATTTAAAAAAATCCCCATTCATCTCAAAAATAAAATATTTATTTATTTAGTTATAAAACGTATCCATTACATGTATCTAGATTTCGATGTGCAGCTCAAAACGAAGTTAAACTCGATTTATAGATGAACAAACGTCACTTGAGAACATATATAGTAAAGTGACTCTTAAGTCGATTAAAATTCTATTTCACAGGTTCTTTTGCAGTTCAAAGTTTATAAAATGACCAACCAAGTGTTGTTCGAAATTTATCTTTTAGTTTTTTTCATATTGTGCAAGTATCCATGCTGGAAAAGTTAAATATTCTTTTATTATTTATTACACGTTATATGATACATTTCATTTTCAAATGTATTCAATTCAACATGCGTCAACAACAGGCGTATACATCAGTGAACTCAAGTAAACAAAATATGTTTCTTGTTGTAATCAGCCTAGGTTTTACCAGACGTTTCATTTTTTTTATCTCTTCTTTTTCACCTATACAATGAAACCAAAACCAACAATACAATATTGGCGACATGACTATTTTTTTATCCCTCATTTATCGATATTTCTGGTTTCATAAACATATATTCCTTTGTTTTACGCAGACGAAACAATAATTCATGCCTATAACCTTATATTCTCTTTCTAGATTTCATTTTCCTGTTTATCATTTATTATTTGAAATTAGTCTGTTTCTACTTTTTCGCCGACATATGAATAATGCATACATTAAACATTAAAAGATGACAATACTCTTTCAAATACTTTAACATCTTTCAATTTTCACTGTTGTTTTTCTACCTGTTTAATTTATCTTTTTTTTTCAGTTGAATAATTCTGATTATTTAGTGATTTCATGATTATTATTAGTGATTTATTTATTCAATTTCCTTTAGTATTGACAGAGAGGCCGAATATTATGATTTTGTACATGTATGATAATGTCGCCGACTATACCTATGAAAAGGTTTCAATAATTGGGGTCATAATTGAGATTTCAGTTAGTGATTTACTGTCTGTTTAATAGGTCATTCATTACTCACTATGAATGGCTATCTAGTGAACAAAGTCATTGGCTTTTGTTTATTTAATCGAAATGAAAGGATATAAGTATTCTGAGCTAGTCCTTAATTACAGCTGACTTAATATGTTGGTATAAGTCTTAAGGTTTTCATTTACTAGTTAACTTGCTTTATAGTTAACAGGTTAATGTAGGTCAGTTGTAAAAATGATGAAGTAGGCAGTACTAAAATATTATTTAGACATAACAACAGTTCCAAGTCCGTTTTCTTTGCTTCGAAGTGAAATACTTTAAATTGTATGTCAGTCATAATATAGATAACCTTTAGATAAAATTTAAGATAGTAGCACTAGCCAACTTTGTGGCAATAGTTGTGGTTCAAAAACTTCCTACTATAAGTTTTCATTAAACATTTACACTAGAAGTTACATAACCTAAAAAATTTAGTGCAGTCATCGATTGGTGACAAACTCTTTTTTTTTCTTTTCAATGAATGTGACACACTGATAGGTGTTTCTTTCACTACTGTCATCGGTGGAAGTAGCTATAGAATCAGTCAGATTTAAATTGCCTAAGAAAATACAAGCTTCAAGAAAAAGGAAATTTGGAAAGAACAAGTAGACTTTGTATTTCAAGTCCTAGAGTTATGACTGATATCTGCAGTATTCAGCAAGAAATTAGTAGGTTAATCAATCCTAACATATTGTCCAAAAGCTTAATTAGTTTATTTCTTGGGCTTAGATTAAAAAAAGTACTTCATGAGTTCATTCACGAAAATTATTCATTGTAGTGGGACTAAATTAGAGGTTTATAGTTAGAGTGGCAGTCATTTTCGCTGGAAATTATTGTCCAATGATTGCGGTTGAGTGTAATGTTGATCCGAGGAAAACGGTATTCATTTTTGGTGATAAAACAAAGTTACAATTTAAATTGTTAATGAACATCAGTAAGCCGAAAAACAGTAACATGGGAAGTTATTCAACTTTATAAGACAGATAGACAGAAAAAAGGAAAGTGAAGTATCTGTTCACCTGGAATGCTAATACTCCGGTTTCAGACAGTATACTCAATAATTCAACTGAAACTCTACCTCATGAAAAATGCCTTCTGTTTCACATGTACTTGCAGAAGCCCTTTTGTTGGAAGAATGGTATGATGATTATCTACTTGTATTCTTGTTCATACTGAAATTAAATTTAGTCTTAGAAATACTACTTCTACTGCACTTTGTTAGGTTGTTATGTATTGAATCCAGGAGATGATGCTGACATATTGGAAGTCTAAATGAATTTGAACAGAGATAGGGTTGCAAATAAACTACGCCTTAAAGGAAACCTCATGTAGCCAGTAAATTTAGTTCAATGCAACATACTTGCCGTAACAGAAACAATAGTCAGTCCATCCCTATTCTGGATACGAATGAATTTGTTTCCCAAATATCTTATTCCTCATTTCCAACCCCTCTAAACTTGTATGTTCTTATTCTTGGATCCTCTTCAGTTTCGAATTACTACTTCTTGTGATTAATTTATGGAAACTTAACAATTGTGATTATTATTATAGTCTCTTACCTTACTCACTTGTTTCATGCTTAACTATCCTTGGGTATAATTATGTAACTGCCTCGTAATGTGACTAACTATTCCTCAATTTTAATTTACCCATCTGATGGTTCTTGATTTATGAGTATATAATTGTTGTGGTTCACTTTGAATTTTATTAATAATAATCATAAAAAGTGGGTTTTTCTGTTCAGAGTCCATTTTAAGTTTCAGCGCCCGGTTTAGCAATACAAGAAGCTACAACCATGTTAATATGGAGATTATTTGTTTACCTGGGTTGTAGGAATTTGCAGAGTCATTATCCTCGTATGATTTTGAAATGGTGGCTAATATTTGTAGCTCAGGTCGATGGTCATGGCTGTATTGTATTCTCTGAGCTAGGTTGTTTGATCAAAGAACACAATACAACCAACAGTTATTGTTTGGTTAACACTGTTTTTACTGCATTAGACAAGTTTTTCAAAGGGTTGGATATATAAAAAGGAATTGAAGGAATGCAACTACTTTAAAGTGTTTATAGTGGTATAAAGAATATTCGTACACCTATTTTCTGGAGTAAATGCAGAAGACATACAGTTTTAATGGTCTCTGTAAGCGCACGAAAATGTATTAATAATATTACAGTGGCATAAGTATTCTTATACTCTCAAGTAGAAGATATTCAGTTGATTTCAGGCATATGCTTATTCTACTAGAAGGTAAATGCAAAACTCACGTGGTATGCATATATAGTTGCAGTAGTCATGGGTTGTATCAAAAACTTCCAATTAGTATCCTGATGCGTTGTCTACCTTTATGATAGTTGTTTATAAAACAGATTGATGTTTTGTCTAATTGGTTTTGTTAAGGAAATCGTTATGAAGAGAGTTGGCGTTTCTAGCGGCAAAATAATTACATTTCTGTTCCCTTCCGCATCATATATATCGCTATCATTTTTGTGAAATGTTGATTATTTCCGCAAATCTTTGAATAAGAATGTTTAGTCGAAGAGGTAATTTGTTGCTTATTACCCAGTTTTTTCAGTGATTAAAAATCTGATCATTAAAATAAATGAAAATGAATTTGTAAATGGCAGGTTAAACTACAATTAAAAACATTGCTTTGTAGACAAAAGTGATAATGCATTGTGTTTTTTTTTTACTGTACTTGGTTTATGTACTGAGCAAGTCTTGTTGTATTTTGTACGGAAATAAAAAGATGGTAAATAGGAGCTGAATGCCGATAAAGGCGACCGTTGTTTAACTCAATTTACACACTTAGGCTTTTCTTGAAAACCAAAATAGATTAAGTTTATCTTCGGAAGTAAAACCAACATTCTATACTGTTTAAATTAAGCACGAATTTATTACTTTTATAAGGTGGAATTAAATCACTTTGAATACATTTACAAATAGTCTTTTTATAAAGATGAAGGACTTCGTGAAAAGGTTAATGCACTGACTGAATACGAAAATAAATTTTAATTTATAAAGAGCCGGAAAATGAGCAAAGGTAATAAAATATTAATGATAGTCTTCGAACTTGACATACTTTTACTAATTACAAAAGAAGACTTTAAAACGTTTAGATCCATATCACTGAAAATATTTCGAACTGTCACAATCAACCCATCTGGAGCCAATAGTCAAGATAACCTTCTGCTAAAAGTGCATTAATAAGTACCTGGTTAGTTACTCCCTCGACAATTAGAGGGTTTTAACTGATAGCGAAAGGCTTGTACAACGAAGCTGTCCCGAATTACCGTAGCTAATCGGTCATTATGAAACAGGATACCATAAGTTCAAAGTGATCAGCCGTACATCAAAAGTAGTTTATGCAGGTGATCATGATAAACACACATTACTTATCCATACTCAACAGATGAAGATGATCGGAATTTTATAACTTAATATGGATAATTGAGTGCGTTCGCCTTCTTTGAGGAAGACCAAACTATACTTCTTGGCGGGGAAGCCATTTAAAAAATTTCATCTACTGTTTGAAGTAAATTGTTACATAGTCCTATAGGGAATATAGAGACATAACCATCCACTGAAAATTATTTTCAACTACTTTGGGCTTAACCAGTGGGAACATTGTTTTGAATCGGGCGAATGTGTAAAAGAAAGGAAAGACTGTGTATTGTTTACAAAGAATTCGTATATGTGAGCAACTGAAGCACCGTTGACAGAGAAATGAATTAAGAACGTGGAAATGTCAGGAGCAGTTAAGATGGCGAACCTAACGGAATTCACATTTACTGCAATATGTCTACACGGAGACGTAGTTCATTCATATCATGCAAATCTAAGTTTGAGATAACATTAGATATTTCATGAGATCACGTTTTAGTTCGACTGTTCTAAATCACTTCAAGAATGCCATGTTCTACCAGTTGAGGATATGTCATGTTAAATTTTGTCGATAGATGCAGTAAATAGACCAGACTGGATTTGATTCTACCATCCTATACTCATTCTATGCAGTTATTCACTGACCACACGATACACTCTATCATTACTGCATCTTTCTGTAATTTAACTGCTTTCTGTTAAACCTTGTGTATCTGTGTGTCCTAAGTCACCTATGTCGGATAGTGACTGTTTTATAGATTTACAGTGTCAAATATTTATATACGTACTTTACAATCTGTTCATTCAAAATTTAACAGCTGCAAACTGGAACAAACCATACAATTGGAGTTACTAATTTCCAGGTGAATGCCGCATATTCAATTTTTAGTTGAAACATGACGATGTATATGATGCTATCCTTCTCTAATCCAGTTAGATTTGGATTGGGATGAGAATTCCTGACTAGACAGCCAGTATGAATACGATTAAGCGGTAGTAACGCATCACGAATTCGCATGGTAGTCAGGCAAAACCCTTGGTGATTGAGGTGAAATAAACATCTGGTCAGCAGTCGGACCTTGTAGCCCAGTTAGTAGAGCACCGGGTCGGCAACCTGGTGGTCTCTGGTCCAAGCCCGGCCATGGTTCAAATTTTCGTCTCATCTTTAATCATCACCCAGTATAAATACTAGTCTGCCAAATAGTCAAATAGTCTCAAATAGTCTCAAATAGTCAGATGACAATGATGATGTAAATAAATTTCCCTTCCTATTGTTTATTTTAAGATATTTACGCATAATTGTTTGTGTTTTACCTATGTTAATCCATAAATGAAAATCTCCTTTAAAAATGTCTTTATGATATCAACAGATTCCCTGCAAAATATCACAAAGAACATTTCCATTGTGCAACCAGTGGATACAGTAAACCGGTAAGTTATTATTTTTTACTTTTAATTTTTATAACTTTACATTTGTTCATCTGATGCCATGGTGGTTGAACTGTATCATATGAGGCTGATTTTAATCAGTGACATAGTGCATTGTATGTACCCGAAATTACACACACTAATAAATTAGTTAGCTGAGATGCTGATGTCCCTTTAAATCTTATCAACCAATGAAGTAATGTAATGCAAACATCCCGTCTTAGGCTGGAAACTGACTACCATTTGACTGTCAGTTGATGTTACGTGCCTTATCGATAGAACAGTACTGATAAGTTTACACTCAGCTGAAGGCATTCTATAACAATTTTAAGAAAGTAACATAATTTTCCTACCAAAGTACTAGATGAGAGACCTGTGCACATGCTTTAGATGAGGAAGACCACGGTGAATAAGTCATTGTTATTTTCTGTTGTAACAGTAAATTTCAAAGTTAGTCGGTAGTGCAATATATAAAAAAATTTGGAAGAATTTTCAAAGTTAATGAATATATATTTTCTGTTACCTCAGAAAATCTTAACAGTCACAGAAACAGTTCTTTGTAACTCATGTGGTATCCCTCAGCTCACTAACAAGGCCTTATGGCCGTTATAGTTTCTGAAGATATCTTGTTCCCTGTGTGAATAACAAGCAAAGTGGGTTGCCATTAAACTTAAACATTCCTAGTGCGAAATGGATAGATCTAAACTGGTGAATACAACCCGACTTCATATTCATCTGGTAGAATATACCCTCAGTTGAAAGTGTGAATACGTAACAATAAAACGATGACATCCTGCTGTCTGTCTAAATACTATTACCAGCACATTTTAGTGATAAAATCTTTTGCTGGTAAAAAGCCTTATCATTGAAACATGTAAATAATGAATCTAAAGAGTGGTATTCAGGAAACCTTAAACCTAGTTTTGTGGTTATGGTTATTAGTGACACATGGTGGTTTTGCGCATGGTATGCATTTAGTTTAATTTCAGACATTAGTAATCTATCTCCAGGAAGCGGTAAACGGCTTGAGTTTTGTGATTACTAGTACTTGTCAGTAAGGTGTATGTGGATTCTGAGGAAGAAGGAGAATAAATGCCCCCTCTAGTCTATTGGTTATTAACTCATAACGTAATACACGAAAATACTTTTTACCAAAGTCTTTCGTCACTTAAATTGGTGGCCAAATTACAGGTTTGACTGATTTGATATGATCGGCTGTTAATGCTTTACACCTATATCGATTACTCTCAAGTGATCAGTCTCCAAGTGTTATTCACTACATATTCAGTGTTGTGATTAGAGAACTCAAATTAGAAATATGTTCATTCGCTAAGATAAACTGTAAAAAAATGATCGTATGGTATATAACACTTGAAATAAACTCATAAAAACTCCCTCTAACAAAAATAAACGTTATTTACTTTATTCATATAGTAATTCACATCTTTTACTGCTTAAATAATTTTTGTTCACTTTATGTGACCTAGAAAAATAGATATCAATAAGGAATTTGTGAGAGTTGCTATTACCTTCCAGTAATTTACGTATAGTATGCGTTTTCTATCCCTCCACCTATCATCTTTAATTCTCATGACCATCAATTAGGTTAATTCACTCATGTATTTTGTTTTCTCTGTGTAACGATAAAATGTGTTAGATTCTAAGTAAAATAACTACTTTTTATAGCTTTTATGAATTTGTTTATTTCCATACTTGTCACAGATTGTGTATTTTTTTTTATTGCCACAATACTTTTTTGCTCGTTTCCATACATTAAATGTTCAATTGTTTACAGATAACAGGTAGTAATTTCGAGTTCACTTTATGTTTTCACCAGTGTTTGATTTCTCTTAATGTATTGCTAAATGAAAATTTATTTCTTTACTGAAACAACATAAAAAGGGAATAGTAGAAGCAAAAACTCCTGTATTTGTTTACTGCCTAATTAAGTGTTTTCCAAATATTTGAACACATACATCTGTATGATCTTTGGAAAGAAAGCAGTATAAGATAACTGTTGTTTTTAGTTAGAGGCTTTTCATAAGTTAACACTTTTTAGGTTAGAATTCATAATGGACTGACATCAGTAGGAGGAATATTGAAAACGTAAAACCAATTAATACATTTACACAGATCTACAGATATAGTTAAAGCTTTTGTTGTGATAACTGATCATGGTTGCACAACATGCATATTGTCATACTCTTATACGAAGTTCTCACTTACACTTTTGATCACCAAAGATGAAAATAACTTGTGTGCATCTAGAGCTCCGTTGATTTTCAATCTTTTCTGCCACACTTATTTTGCTGAAGTCATTTTCCTTTTAGTGTTATCTTCTTTTTGAAGAAAGAGCCCGATAATTAGGTTCTTTTATATGGCAAACTAGGGAGAAGTAAACTCTCGTCTTTGAAAAAGCGAAATAAGAAAACGCTTTAAATTCAGGATAAAATACGAGTTTTCTGAAATACAGGTTACGCCAACCAAGTCGTTAAGCAAGTCATACAGAATAAACAAAATTCATTTTTCAACTGCTATAGTTAAATGTGGCTGTTTTTAAGGGTTTTTTCTGCTAACTTGGTGATCACAGCAGAAATGGACGATGGAATGCAGTCAACACTTAAGACTACATAATTTCCAATTGTTTTATCTTCAGGGACCAATAAATCTACCTAATCCTGTGCTACAGGTGGTCATTCACAACCTGACTAGCTCAGTAGTATGGTAACTAACTGGGTGGGACGGGTTCGAATTTCCGAGGGAAGATTGGTTCCTTCCTGGTTACAGATACCCCTTACTTACGTAAGCCAAAAGTCTCGAAACTTAGTTTCATATCTTCCTGCCAACTCCCTCCAACCAACCAACAGTTTCCATCTCAATCACACATAATCTGAAATCTATTTTCGTATATCTTCTACACTCTTTTCACTTGCAGTGGAACTAAATGGATCTTTAAAACTATAAGTCTGACCATGGGCCATTACAGTATATTTCAGTGCAAAAGACAGGTTTGGAAACGGATCGAATCTTCACTGGAATTCAGAAGATTATTCATGGAAAAATGAGTGCAAAAGGACATGCCTGACAAGTAGCCCAACCGCATATTAAGTATGTTTGTATAAATGAGGCGTATAATCAAGGTGACAATTCCAACTTCAGTATAGTTAGGTGAAGAGAGTGATCGGTTACTGGGTCTTTTTTCATCGAATCAACATCTAAAATATGGATGCGAATAATCCAACACGCTGCAGATATTCGAATAGTTCGACTGCCACTAAGAATAAAAGAACAGGGAACTGTGTGACTGAAAAATGGTTGCTCAAAGATGTGTAATTGATTTGATACGGCCATGAGCAGCAAACTGTACTCTATTCGTTATTCAGTAAAAATTATCCCTGATCACTATATATCAATTCACTCTATGATGCCTATTCTGACGAAGTCTGCTAGCATGTTGATAAGACGTCCAGGAGCAAACCCCAAAGCATAGTAAACACCAAACAATTATTATTTCTTAGCACAAACTACAAATATTGTCTACTATTTCATAAACTTGTATGGTTTTGTTCTAGCGGATAAGCAGCTGTACACTTAGAAATTGTAAATCCTCACTGGTTTTACTTTAAGCCTTCGATTAACAATAAATGATCTGGTATCTAGTATCGCCTGGTTAAGTAGTTCACTAGTTACTAGCTGGTCATAGGCCCGGGTAAACAGGGAAGGTTGGGCGTAGAGCTAGCAACCCTACCCCGGTAATCAATCCAACAGCTAAAGAAACTTCAAAGTACAAACAAAATATAAAAATAAAAACAATGTTATTCTTCGCTGGAATCAGAGAGGTGAAATGACGCCAGTTGGTGAAAGCCTTAGGGAAACCGATTCACCTGTGTCCTCTCTTCTCTCGATGAAATCGAAAGTAAGCATGGGGACATGGAATGTCCCCATCATTTTTGAACCTAGCAAGGCAGCCCACACTGCAAAGGAGATGAGAAGGTATCACACTGAAGTGTTAGGAATTTGCGAAAGTAGATGAAATGGGAGTAGACTCTCCAAACTAACTAGAGAGTCAGTAATCTACCCCGATATTATCACTCAGGCGGCAAACACCAGCACACGGAGGGAGTGTCTATCATGATTTCCCAAACAGCATCAAAGGCTCTCATGCAGCGGGAACCAATCTCCTACTGTAGGAACGTGACAGCAAGGTTTAACTCAAAAGGAATGAAAGTCACAATCATACAATGTTACGCTATGCACCTACAAATTATGCAGATGAAGAGAAGGGGGAGGAATTCTACGGACAACTGCAATCAGTACTGGGCAAGACTTCAGTTGGCGACATCAAAATCCTAATGGGCGGGGCGACATGACTGCCAAACTGGAAACGGAAAACACAGGAAGATAACTAACCATGGGTCGAGAAGCGCTCAGTGAAATGAACGAGATTGGAGAACTGTTTGCGGTATTCTGTGCATTCAACTATTTGATGATTGGAGGTACTGTATTCAAGTACAAGGATATCTCAAAACGAGCGACATGGATTTGATTTCACCAGATAGACACACTACACTGAAAATCAGATCGACTTTATCTCAATGTGACGAAAGTGGAGACGCAGCCTACTGGACACTAGATCAGATCAACAAGGGGAGCAGATGTAGGCTCAGGCCACAGTTCAAGTTCAACACCCAGAACAGAAACTTAAGGACGAAACTAAAAAGGACATCTTCACGGCAGCCATCAAGACGAAATGGGAGATGTCGAGCAGCATCCCTGAAGAAACCTGTGTGGATGAACACTGGAACTCTTTGAAAGCTATGTGGAGAGAAACCTGAATAACCGTGTTATAAAGGAAGAAGAAAGGAGATATGGAATGGATCTCGACGGACACATGCGAAGCTGATAGAGGGGGGAGAGGAAGATGGTGAAGCAGAAGATAAACCAGTGCAAGGACGAATAACAAGAAGAGGAACTGAGTACAACATATAAAATACTACACTGAG